TCTTCCAATACCATATTCATTGAATTTAACCACTAAAACAAGGTTAGTTAGATCACATAATAAAGATTAGCTATGTTAGGAATCTCACATTTAATTCACTGATTATCAGTGGCATTGATATCAGTGATTATCCACTGATTCAAATTTAGAGAGTATATATATATATATATAAAATTCCTAATTAATATGATATGAATATGATGTGATGACTTATAATATGATTTATAATAACTTACTTACTCAAATAATAATACAGTGAAAAATGTAATCTAATGGAATTAAGGAAATATTTTATACAAATTATATTAACACATGCAATTTGTATTGTCTTAACAAAATTATGTTATAAAACAATAAATTATTTCATTGCAAAAAATTATAGCTTAGACTCAATAATTTTCTTATATTTTCTGGTAAAAGAAAATATAAGAATGTTTATTTATAATTATTTACAAAATCCTAGACATTTAAGGGGAAACATACGAGGTCTGTTCAAAAAGTATCGGACCTCTGCGTATATCTTTGTCCTTGGGCATCCTATTATGGAAAACAGGTATTCAGTATTTAAGGTGGACTTTAAGGAGTACCCCCATCAAGCGGCTGTATCTACTTTACATACAGAAAGACCAAAAAGATGCCTAATTCTTAAAGATCTTTTTTGCAAAAACTACTAACTTTACTCAAAGTTTGGTTTTAAACAAAGTTTTGATCAATATATCTTACAATAGGATAAAGTTGCCGAAATCATACTGGTTCCTAAATCACATTACTTCGCTTGAAAATTCAATTATTGTATACTTACATACTTTCTTACGAGTTATAAGAATTTTATTATTTAAGAACATGGTGTTGCAACGCTGCTGCGTTACATTCGTGACATGGAGGGCAATAAGAGTGCTATTATTTACATAAATAAAAAAATAGTGATAATGTTGCTATTTTTTAACGTATTTCATATTGTTCCTTCAAAAAAAGACCATATATCGGTAAAGAAATATATCAATGCATAATTTCATGAAAAATTATTTTTAATGTTTATTTGAAATTTATTAATGCAGTAATTGCGCACAAAGTTTTTATATAATATCATATTATTATTATTATTAGCAATGATATTATGATAAGTATAGATTTCACGTTTCTTATCTTAATCGATCTTATTAGCATCTTTGCTCTGTTAGAAAGAGAACATAATAAAGAAGGCGACAAGGAGGTCGATTCAACTTATGTGCGTGCTCTCACTATTATTTTAAAAAGAAAAAGACAGAGAGAGTGAGTGAGAGAGAGAGAGAGAGAGAGAAAGAAAGACTAATTGCATCAATATACCTCTCTCTTTTAAATCCGACAGTGACAACTAATTGAAATATGCGCAGTTTATACTTATTACCTATTAGGTATTTTTTGTGCATAACGCATGAATATTTACACATGATAAATAAATCTGACTTAAAATACTAAGCAATCTTAAATTCTAAGAATATATATAAGGCATGAATAAATCTTAACATGTTCCGTCCAGAATAAGCATAGTTGCTAATTCTTCGATCTTCGCTCACAGATTTTGGTTTTTTTGGACAAATCTTCGATTCTCCGATTGTAAACATTTGACGTTTTTTAATGTTTTTTTTAAAGAATGCATTACAATATAATAACAATTTTTGAAGTAGCAATCGATATTCGGCAAGATAAATAAAACCTCCGATTTTTAAAAACAAAAAACTGATAAGTTAAGTATTGATAATCCTCAGATTTTCGGTTCAAACTGTTGTGATACTTGGTTACAAAAAAAATAATTATAAAATAATTTCTGATATCATTTGTAGATACATAGTTATGATACGTGATGAAATATCGGTACATTAAATCTTTTTTTTTAGAACAATAACTTTGTAATCTTTTAATCTTATTATGATATACACTACTCAACAAAAAATAGGGAACACTTTCGAACACGCTCAAAATTGCGCAATATTCAAAACGCCATAATTCGGTGAAAAATCGTCGCAGAAAATAAATCAAAAAAGCATTTTAAAGCGTGAAATCTCTACTTTTCAAATCGGTAATCGATATTTCAATTTGATCGATCCTTCATGGAACTACGCGGATAAAAATGGATACCCGTCAAATTTGAAAATTTTGATCAAATTTTACAAAGATCTGTGGCGTGTACTAAAAATTGCACAATAATGCGATTCACAGCATTCGAAAGAGTGAATCTTTACCTTCAATTTGTTTTTTTATTGATCGTTCTACGATTTTTTTTCACCGAGTTATTGAACGTTGAAGTAAAAATGTCATATTGTACAATTTTGAGCATGTTCGAAAGTGTTCCCTATTTTTTGTTGAGTAGTGTACATATTATTTAACAAATGAAACAAATAAAAATACTCAGTCCCGTGATGTGATGATCAAATTACTTAAAATCGGTGTGGAACGCGCCAGTAATATATTTTTATGTACATACAGGCAATTATAACGTAATAAAATTATGTAATGTATTTTTCTAACTCATTAAGCTTCTTGAAGTTTAAAGACAAGATTTCTATTTTTATTTACTCGTAACTCAAAATTTTTTTACTAAAAAAAGTTACTTTTAAATTAATCAAATTATCGAAAATGAAAAGTTACAGACATCCTGTATTTAAAAACATTACATGATATTTGTATACATTGCATTTAGAAAATTTAATGTACACATTGCATCTTAAAACATACATAATTTATATGTTTTCAATATTTATAATCAAACGTATATGTCAAGTTTTCCTACCTGTTATATTTCTGCATACATCTTACGTGACATAAATTTTTTTATAGAAAGTGATCTATATAAAGTGAAATGTACAGTTTATTGGCCATTTAATAGTATCTCAAATATCATAACATTTATAACTGTGAAGCAATAGTTCGGTTAAGTATTGCGTTGATTGTTAATATAATGAACGTACTGATGTGCGTTCTTGCAGAAGAGAAACTCTACTCTGATGAATTCGATAATGTCGATATTCAAACAATTTTTAATAATAAAGGTTTAATAGAAGACTATTACAATTGCTTTATGGAAACAGGACAGTGCAAGACACCACAGCAGAGATTCTTCACAGGTATTTCTGTACGATTACCAAATGATTTTCTTTATTTGGTGACAAATTCTTTAGTCGCATTTACGAAATATCGCAATAGTTCATAGTGTACTACAGTTGTGGATCACCTACTCTATACGTTTTCAAAAAATACATAATGTAAAAATGCATATAAATATTAATCATTTATTAATCACATTTAATTAGAATAATAATAAAGTTGGAGTCGATTTTGTTTAAATACGAGGGTCGTCTGAAAAGTTTTGAGCCTAACATAGAAACAAGTAATTTTTAGGTCAAATTCAATTTTATTTTTCCAGTCTCCTTTTAAGTCGATACTTTTTTTCCAGCGATGCTCCCACCCCTTTAATCCATTCAAATAATACTGAGCGTCTTGCTTTGCAAAATAGGCGTTTACGAATGCGATGACCTCCTCGTTCGATGAACATTTCTGTCCTTCGAGCCAAACTTTGAGCCTAGAAAACAGAAAAAAGTCGCTGGGGGTCAGATCTGGTGAATACGGTGGATGGTCAATTAATTCGAACCGCAATTCGTGAATTTTTGCCATAGCGACCGCCGAAGTGTGAGACGGTGCGTTATCTTGATGGAACAGCACTTTCTTCTTTTTCAAATGCGGTCGTTTTTTCTCAATTTCTGCCTTCAGCTTGTCAAGCAATGATGCGTAATACGTCCCTGTTATTATTTTACCTTTTTCAAGATAGTCGATCAACACAATTCCATGATTGTCTCAAAAAACAGTCGCCATCACCTTTCTTGCCGATAAAACCGTCTTCGCTTTCTTCGGAGCAGGTTTATCCTTCGCAGTCCACTGTTTTAATTGTTCTTTCGTTTCAGGAGTGAAGTGGTGGACCCAAGTTTCATCAACCGTTATTAATCAACGCAAAAAATCCGACTCGTTTCGCT